GAATCTTCCCAGACTGAAACCTCAGTTCCCAAAGTCAGCCAGTCAAAACAGAGTGAATTCCTTGGAGGTGCCAGCCTCATCCTCTTATCTCTTTCTTGCCCCTCAGGAGACGAAAGAGCATTTTTCCCTCCCTGAGTTTGGCCTTCACAATTCCATTCCATCCCAGTTGTATCCTGAGTCCATTAAATGTGAATCCATTAAATAATACGCTGTATACTATTAATTGGTAATTGAATCTGGATGTGTGGTATGTCTGGGGTAGGGAAGGAGTAAACAAAAGGATAAGGAGAGAACAGATTGGTAGGGGTCAGGAAAGAAACTACAGCCACCTCATCTCCTAATTATTGTATATAAGCCAGCAAAAGTCTTAAACCAGGTTGGAAATAAATAACTACAATAAATAATTCAGTGACAAACTTTAAGATATAAAAGGAATCTCAAAGTTGGAGCCTGACAGCCCATCAAATTTTGACATATAATAGCTGCTATGATTTACAAGCCTGGTTCAGAGATTCTTACATCTAAAAAAAAAAAAATTCTTGCTGTATTTAGTAATATTATATGGGGTGCTAATCTATGATTAAATTAAAATGTGACAGGATTTGAAAACCTGACTGTATCAAGAGAAATGCATGAGAAAAGTTGGCAAGAAGTGATGTGCAGGGCAGATTTAATGCCACAATGGAATCTGCCATCTGCCTTACCACAAAGAGTAAAAGCAGACAAGACATTAATTGTATTTGCCTTTTTCTGAAGAAAATTACCTCGGCTTCTATTTTCATCTGGAAAGAAGCCTCTAATGTACAGTTGAACTGTATTTATACAAGTAGGCTATGCTCGCTCTTAATCACATTTATAGACCATTGCAATCCCAAAGGACTTTCAACAGTTAATGCTGAACCAGGATGTTATAACCATGGATTTGCTGAGCAAACCATAATTTACTGAGTGATACAAAATGTTAGGTTGAGTTTGCACATCACACTAAACTAAAAATGCTAAGTTTAGTATTATGTATGAAACCAGTGTTGTATTTAGGTCATTTGTATACTTTGTGCTGTGCATTAAATGTACTCATGTCCAGAGCATTTGCCTCCCTTCTGTTCCAAATTCCCCTCATAATTAGTAACCTTTAATTTTCCCAAAATACTGGCTTATTTCTTAGTTCATAAACAGCAAAGCTAGATTGAGGAGTAAATGAATTGAAGGAATCAGTGAAATACTAGCAGCTCTTGGATACTCTCCGCTTCCTTGAATATTCTCCTGAGTAGAGATTGGAATGCCAGCCCATTAACAAGCTCAACTTCAATGTGCATCAGCAAATCTTAGCAAAGAAAAGTGTATTAGGAGGCAGGTTTTGGAGGGGCTAGGGAAAGGATGCAAAATTCCTATAAATTAAGTGGTTGTTCTGCTTAACATCATGTAAAGAGAAAGGAGATAAAGAGAAGCAGGGCTGGGGGAGCAAGAGGCAATGACATGGCTATATGTTGCAGTTGCTGGCAAATATCCTTGCCTAGGTACAACTGGGATATGGGATAAAGAGATCTGCCAAAGAGGAGAGATTGTATTTGCTTCTGTTATAAAAAGATCCTCTTCAACCCTGCCCAGCAGGCTCTGATTGTTTAATACCAAAGCTAATGAGAAAGTTAGGCCCAGAGCTATGGTGCAATGAGCTTTCATGCATGTTTCTAGCCTGTTAAACTCTGTGAAGTTTTAATAGAATACAGTTGAAGTTGGAGAGAGTAATCCCCAGATATAGCCTAGGGCACACCTCATTCTTGGGGAAAGATGAGCCTAATATGGTGCTGGTATGTTGGGGGGGCGGTGGTCAGAGAAGACAGATATCTGCTGCTTTCAAGGGAGGACGAGTTTGTGTAGAGAGAATTATCTCCCATCTCTGCCAATCACATGGCAAAAATGCAAAAGTGTATTATGGAAATGCTTCCTCACCTCACCTGTGTACTGAAGCCCTTCATATGTGGCCAGCAAGCTCAAAAGTTCCAAAACAAATATTGCATTAGTACATTCATTGATAATTGCACTATTTTTCCTAGTAGCCTGAGGTTAATTGCAGTCTTGTGCAAGATTCGTTTTCTAACCCAGACAAGCTGAGGACCCTCCTTTAGTTTTCATCCGTTCATTTCCTTATAAACCATCTGCCTCTCTACCAGTGTGCAAGGAGATGAATCCCAACCAAGCCTGCATCACTGTCTTAGTTTTCATAAGAGGAAATATCACCTCATCTGGTAGCATCCTGCCTTGGGTTGCTTCTCATTTAAGGGAATTTCTCTTTGAATTCTCACTTCCTTTATTTTCTCTCAGCCAATCCTTTTCAGACCAAAACTCTGGATATGCATAACCTGTTTTCCAGAACCATAGTATTTTCCCCCATGTATGGCTTCCCTGCTCTTCAGCCACCCAAACACGCAGAGTTGCAACAGATCTCTTTGTTTCATGAGCAAATGTATATTGCCTGCTAAAAGAACAACCTAAATTCTTGTTTACTAACTTAATTCCTCAACTGATTCCACTGGGGTAAGCTATAATGTGAATTCATTGAGAGCCATGCTGCCCATCGATTGTCTACAATTCTGAATGGAACTGCCCTTGGTTCATTTTTACTGTTTCATTGCCACACTCTGTTTCTTTAAATGGTTACCAAGCTGGAATTAAAACTCTTTGCATTTTTATTAGCAAGCGTAGGGATTAATGCACCCCTTTGAAAAAATGCTTCTTAAATATCTGTTAATCCCAGATTTCCCAAGAGGGAAAATCCTTATGCCTTTCAGCAAAACCAGCTACAGCAGCATTGGCAGAAGCTGAGGAGAGACATGAAGTTAGTAGCCAGGATATTGGGGCATTTGTGGAAGTGGGGAAGCAAGCATGTTTCCAGAGCCCACTGGGATGGAGGCCTGACATCTCAATACCTACAGCTTCCCTGGCATCTACAACAGTGGTTGATGCACTGTGATCCCATAACAGATAAGCCTGCTCACGAACACAAAACAGAATTAATGAGCGGCATTTCCTGTGGCAGCAGATAATAGATCAGAAAGCAGAAGCTGATGATTGTAGCAGTTTTTCTATAGCCAGGAAACCAATATTGGTAGTTATTGGAGGCACCAAGTTGATGCTTTTGGCCTTATTGAACACTTGTTTCAAGTCTCCCAGAATTTAAACTTAGCTGAAGAACTGGCCCTTTACAGCATCCATCCAGCATCCATCCCTTTACAATGAGGAGGAGGACAATGTCAATCTATAGCCCTGTAGATACGGGACTGCAGAACCCATTATCATTCATCCCTAATTATGTTGGCTGGGGGTGATGTTCAGCAGTATCTGGGAGGACAGTATTTTCCATTCTTAATTGAAAAAGGAAGAAGAAAGTAACCTGACAAATGTGAAAACTAAACAAAATTAGAGCCAGAAGTATCCTGTTAACCTTGTTGTAGAAGGTCTCTGTTGTGAGGAGCTATACAGAAGAGACTGAAGATGAGTTGCTGGAAAGCACGAGGAAGATGCCTGGCTGGGCCTACAAGGTTATCTTGCTCCAACAAGTTGATATGATTCAGCCACTCTGTTCCTTGCAGTAAAACATGCTAATAATGTTGAGAGCTTCACAGAGCTTGATTCATGCAAGTTTATACATGGCCATCACCTAACCAGAATCTCTCTGCTTCATTTTCTTGCTGTCCAAATAGAATTTTCGCAGGAAAATGCTTTGTCTCTACTCATTATCCAAACTGATATAGAGAGCTAACAGACAACACTCCTGGATTCTGTTAATTTCCCCAGGTTTCACTGAAACAATCAGAATTTTTGCAAAAACAGGCCTTTTTACAGAATAGAGCTAATGCACATTTTAGCCTAGGTGGTTATTTCCTCACAATGAGCGTTCTGTTGTGTCTTTTGTGAGACCAGATTGGGATTTAACATGTTTTCAGAAATTTTCTAACATTTTAGCTAGCCTGGGATGGAACCTTCAGATGCACCATTCATTACAAGAAAGGAACAGGCCAGGGCCTCAGAGTAGCTGTCAAGGCCTTCAGAATCCGTCTGAATAAGTGTTTAAAGGGGATTTGCAGTTTAACTATAGAATGAAACAAATATTGGCACAGTTCTGAATCTGATTTAAATGTATTTAAAAATTGGCAGAATAGATTCTTGGATCTTCATTGTTTTATTTATCCATTTTAAAAGGAAACAGTTGCTTAGTGCAGTTTCCAAGAAGGTTTTATGAGAGGTTGATTAATACCTGCTTTTTTAACATGGATTTTCCAGTTTATTTCAACTGTACTTTAATGAGCATAGTGTTGGAAGTTGCTGCCTTGCTAGAGCAATAGTAAAAAGGAGGTTTTGAGGAGACGTGAAATAGCCTGCATGTATTTAATACCAAAATCAAATGAATCAGTGACCTTGGTTACACTCCAGGAGTCCTGGAAGTCACCAAATAACAAATCTTGTAGTATTCCGAGTGGCTATGAGATCCAGCTAAGATAACATTGGACTGAAGTTAGGAATAGTGTGGTTCATGGCCCTGCTCAACCATAGACTCAGGTGGCCTTGGGAAAATCATTCTATGTCAGGTGACATGGGAAAGCGAATAGGACAAGTTAACATCTTCCCAACTGGTAAATTCTTTGTATGTAAGTTTTAAGGCACTTCCTGAATTTGGGTTAGTTAAAAAATGACCTCAAGACATGTCAGGGCATCATTGGACTGGTGTCTGCCATCTGCAATTTTGCTTTGCAGTCAAAATCTTCCTATGAATCTGGTCTTAGCTGCCTGCTTGTAAAACTGAAAATGTGACTGAAACCTAGTTGGGCAAGGATTAATGAGATAAGTTTTGTGAAGCATTCTGTACTGTAAAAATTAATGGTGGTGATGATTATGATGCAAAAGAAAATAAAACCAACATAGGGTTAAAATAATATACTACTGTTATCTAAATCTGGGTGTATTGTGCATGAACAGTAGCTTAAAAACCTCGTTTACTTCCATGGAAAAACTGTTACATGTGATTTTAAATCTCAGTTGATAGAATGTGTTCATTCTCCATGTATGCCTTTGTTTTACAGTCAGGTCCAGAAATATTGGGACATCGACACAGTTCTAACATCTTTGGCTCTATACACCACCACAAAAGCAGCAGGATGAATTCTGCAGTGTTTCGGGCAATATTATCTGCTCACATTCAGCCAAATGCTGCAGAACTCATTGGAAATCTGTTGCTGTCAACTCTCAAGATGAGATCAAAAGCAGCAGGATGAATTCTGCAGTGTTTCGGGCAATATTATCTGCTCACATTCAGCCAAATGCTGCAGAACTCATTGGAAATCTGTTGCTGTCAACTCTCAAGATGAGATCAAAAGCAGCAGGATGAATTCTGCAGTGTTTCGGGCAATATTATCTGCTCACATTCAGCCAAATGCTGCAGAACTCATTGGAAATCTGTTGCTGTCAACTCTCAAGATGAGATCAAAAGCAGCAGGATGAATTCTGCAGTGTTTCGGGCAATATTATCTGCTCACATTCAGCCAAATGCTGCAGAACTCATTGGAAATCTGTTGCTGTCAACTCTCAAGATGAGATCAAAAGCAGCAGGATGAATTCTGCAGTGTTTCGGGCAATATTATCTGCTCACATTCAGCCAAATGCTGCAGAACTCATTGGAAATCTGTTGCTGTCAACTCTCAAGATGAGATCCAAAGAGCTGTCACTATCAGTGAAGCAAGCCATCATTAGGCTGAAGAAACAAAAATTCCAAATCCATTGTGGTGGTGTATAGAGCCAGAGATGTTAGAATTGTGTCGATGTCCCAATATTTCTGGACCTGATTGTATATTGACACAGAGGAAAAACTGACTTTTCTTAAATCTGACTTAAACTTTTCTATATGGTCAAGGTTTAATCTGCTGCTTAAAAAGTGATCAATCTTATATATGTGTATGTTAGTATGTACTACACAACCCATGACCTGTTGGGTCATCATTTCAGAGATATTTCCTTACCTAAACAGAGAAACAGAATGACCAAGGGCGAAAAAGTAGTGGGAGTGTGAGCAACTTGTCACTCGCTGCCAGCTTCCCCATTGACTTTGTTTGTGGGAAGCTGGCAGGGAGCATCAGAAATCTCCCTCCCTCCCCCGCTCCAAGGTTCAAAAATTGTTGTCCTATGACACACCATTTTGCCCAGTTGAAGGTTACAGACACAAGAGTTTTAGTAGTATATAGATGTAATTTACTCCCCCTTTTTTCTTTTTTCTCCCTGTTTATTTTCTGATTTGTTTTAGTTTTCAGCTTGTTTTTCTTTTTTGCTATTACAAGCAATAAAGATTATTTTTATAAAAAGCTTATTACTTAAACCCCCAAATGTCTGGTATATATAAAGGAGCCATTCCCATCTTGCTGAATAGTGCATTCTGCAAGGAGTTATCTCACTCCCCTGCCTCCTGATTGATTGCTTTGCAGGCATTTTCTGGAATCTGTCTTCAAGTGATAATCTCAAGGATCGCCTTGCCCGGGACACTTTGGAGCAGCTCACAAACCTGATCTTGACCCCTCTATCTGGCTCAAGCAATGCTGCTATTATCCAGCAAAATGCCTCTGAGGCAGAAATCTTCTACAATGCCACTGGCTTCCTCAGGTACTTTAACTATATGAGAAATACAGGATCCTAAGGAGATTGGATCCAAAGGAGCTCACATGATAGAAAAATCCTGATGATAGTAGTAGTTGTTGGTATCTTTACCTTACCTTTAGTAAGATTGGTACAGATAAAAAGAAAAATGCAAGCATTACAAAGTCCCATTCAGTAAAAATAGTTCATAACTAATCATGTATATGCAGTAGAAATAGTGAGCACCATTACTTTCATAAGGTTCTCTGGCAAATCAGTGTGCTCTGTATTGTATGCTTTCGATCAGAATCAGGATGATGGCAACACAATCAGCACATTATGTTTCTGACAGATGAAAACCATATTGAATCAATACTTGAAGTAGGGACTAATTCACTTATGAGAAGTATCTGTATATGGCTGCTGGAGCATTATGTTGGATTGCAAAATAGGATACTGTGACAGTACAATTCTTACTGTGAAAATATTCTTTTTTTGCACATAGAGATCAAATTTGGCTGCCGCTTGACTTTGTCAAGATCATGGCTGAGTTATATGACCTTCCAGTTTTTGCTGGATTGAATGCCTGTAATTGGCCTTGCTTGCTAGGGTCAATGAAAATGGGAGTCTACAACAAGTTGCTCAATCTTGGTCCAGATCATATTCTGGATCCATATTCTACTGCTTGGTTGGGGGAAATTGTCTGAAAGATACTCACTGAGATACTGTTTTTCTTTTCTAATAATGGGAGGGCGTACACTTGAGTTGGAAGAGGGTGCATTGAAGGAATATTCTTGTGATGGTAAGCCTTCATGTTTCTCCTCTAGGAATCTTAGCTCTGCCAGCCAGCAGACTCGGCAAAAAATGCGTGAATGCCATGGGTTGATAGATTCCATGGTCAACTACATAAATAGTTCGCTAGAAGTGGGAAAATCAGAGGACAAGGTGAGCTGCCTCATTTTATTCTTGAGTCAAGTGGGGAAATGCACTCTTTCCAAGACAAAGTTTGCTGATGATTTCCTGTGATTGTTCTTTCACATGTAGTGACATGAAATTATTTTTCCATTACTGTAGATATTTAATTGTGTCATCCTTCATAGTCCATCCATCATATCTTTTCTTAGGCTTAAGGCTGTCATTTCATTATCTACTTAAGCAAATTGCTGAATGAAGCTTTTACTATTTGTGGCTACTAGTTCAGTAAAGTGGCATTGTAAAAGATTGATACTTTTACAGACAATGAATTCTTAAGGCAAGCATTGAGAAGAAAGCAAAAGCATGACAGTAAGGGTTGTACATAGTGCACAGGCACACCAACATTTCATAATGAACTGAACATTCAGTTGAACATTTTAGTTGGCATGGGCACCTGCCAAATGTATCTCTATGAAAAATAGGACTTCCATTTACACTTTTCTTTTTAGACATAATCTACTAAAAAAAATGTAAACATGAAGCACTTTATATTATTGCAGGTATAGTAGTTAGAATAACAGACCAAGGCTGAGGAAATGTGGGTTTGAATCCATCTTCAGCTGTGACATTCACTAGGTAATTTTAGGCAGTCAATAATTCTCTGGTTGCCCTACTTTACAAAACTATTGTGAGAATAAAAAGGTGAAACAGGAGAGCCAGTAGCTGTGTTTGTAGAACACACTGAACTTTATTACTGATAAATTATTTTCTTGGTTTGCATGGTACATTGAAGAATAAACCGCAGCTGGCCTATGCTCACACAATACTCTAAGCCAGCCAAAGTTAACCAGGATTAAAGCTAATCAAGTTTAGCTTGTCATGCAACTGCAGCTGCTAAGTTTGTAGCTGACCTTGCTGAGCATGTTGTTTGAATACAGCCAGTGAAATACACCTCATATTCCATGTGCAAAGGTGGATATCAATATAATAATTTTAAAAATATCTTATGAATTGTCTAATAGACTAAAGGTCTAGTCCTTCAAGTAAAGTTTAATGCTTGATTGTCACTTAGAATAGAGATATCCAGAAACTTGATCTTCAGCCTAATATATTCTTGGCAAAAATACAGTATGGATGGCTTCTGGCACCAAAACAACCTGAATCTGCCATTCTAAATCCAAAAGCCAATGAAGATTCTTGTCATAAGGTGCCTCAGGCAAACATTTGAAAGGCAAATGATGCATCATTAAACAAATATGTATGTTTGATTCAAAAATATTTTAAAGTACTGTTTGGAGCTCTTCTATATTATTGCCTAAGGGATCCTACAGCAAGAATCAAATGCAAATCAAAATATATAAAATACACCATTAACAGCTGAACATCATCTTAACCCAATTTAGTCTAAGCCAGTTACTATTAAATATTAAGAAAGGAATAGAAAAAATTGCAATGAATAATGCACTGTAAAAACTTTCTTTTATTTTTTCAAAAATTGACTTTGTCCCCACAGAGTGTGGAGAATGCAGTCTGTGTACTGCGCAACCTCTCCTACCGACTTTATGATGAAATCCCTCCTTCCTCGCTCCAGCGGCTGGAAGGACAAAAGAGGGGCGATGGAGCTAACATGACCAGTGAACTGGTAGGCTGCTTCAGCCCACAAAGCAGGAGGGCCCGAGAGGTGAGAGTGTGAAAAATGCCATTATGGGAGGGAGCTGAGCCTGTTCTGGGCAGCCCTTGTTTCCTAAGATGAAAAGTAACTGAGAAAAGAAAGGAAAGAAGGAAGCCCACTCCTGGAGAGGAGTCAATCACTTGACTAAGAAGGCCAGATTCCTGAGCACATCAGGGTTCAACCCCAGCCCCTATAGTCAAGAACACGCCTCAGCCCCATCTCTAGAATGTAAGACTTCACTAATGTACTACTCTGGGCAGGATAAATTTGCCCCTGAGCTGAGTAACAGTGGTGAATCCCCAATATCAAAGGGAAGGTTTTCTCGATCAGTAGGTCATATTCCTGTTCCCACTTAAACCCCAAGAATCCTTCTGGAACAGAAATTACTTTTAGAAGCTGCGAGATCCAGAGAGTTGTCAGTTCCTCTGAGTAATATGCCTTGGTTGGTGAGAATTAATGCTAGAGTATACGAAACACATACAGTAATTATGGGGCTAATAATATCCTAAAAGAACAGTAACTGGGTCAGAATGGTTTAGAAATAAGATGTGGAGAATAGGATCCATGGGAATGGATTAAGCAGTGATAAAGCCTTGATTGAACTGTGTAAGCTGCAAAAGGGACAACAAGGCTGTAGCTAGAACAAAATTTCATATAGCCTCAAAGAAAGGCTGTTAAATATCTTTCACTCTTCTCCTCAGCTCCACATGAACTCTGACATGGTGACTTTCACAGAGGTTTCTAAAGACCCTAAAGGGATGGAGTGGCTCTGGAACCCTCAGATTATAGGGGTGTACAACAGGCTGCTACAGCGATGTGAGTTAAATAAGCATACCACAGAGGCAGCTTCTGGAGCTCTTCAGAATATCACAGCAGGAGACCGGAGGGTAAGGCTAACTCCATAAATACCACCCTGCATCTTCTTAAGACTTGAAAATAAAGCAATGCATATTAAGGAGATGAGGAAGTTAAGACTGTGAACTTGAAGTTTTGTAGGAAACTTGTGTTAGATATGGAAGATGAGCTCACTGATGGTTCCTTTTATACTTTCAAGAAACATTGTAGCAAAATTTAGTAGGCCTGTTCAAACAATGAAGCATCTCTGTTGCCAAAGCTGCCAACAGCTTTTTCCCATTTTTCTGGTACCCTGAAGGGAAAGGGCTCTGAGGATTTCCCTGTGCTAGAGCTTGTGTTCAGCCACATAATACTTACTAACACTGCCAACGCTCTGGAGTTTTAAAAGTAACATATACAGAAGATATCTATGAAGGATGATTACTTTGCCTACTTTGTGTTGCTTGAGCCTGAACAGTGACTCTGTTGAAAGCTTGCCCCTCTTCTTGTGGAGGGTGAGAAGAGAAAAGGGGGGAACCAGTAAAGTTAACTGTGGGAAGTAAAGGAGTGACAAGGCTTCCATTGTCTGCCTAAAGCCAAACATAAATTAAGGCAGTAGTCAATAGTCCAGAAGGCCTGGGGATAAAGGAATGGGAGGAATAGATTGAGCATCGGTTGCAGCAATCAGATACTTCTTGGTATACATATGTGGATGTTTTATAGTTTGCAAGAGCATCTTATAGCAGAAGAGTCAGTCAGATATTATTTCTCCACTGTGCCCAGAATTTTTACTGACTTGGCAGGGGAGTCATCATTTGCCAGCTCATGCATCTTTTCGTCCATTGTAGTGGGCTGGGGTCCTCAGTAGAGTGGCTTTGGAGCAAGAGAGGATCCTGAACCCTGTACTGGACAGAGTCCGCACAGCTGACCATCACCAGCTTCGTTCACTGACAGGACTGATTCGCAACCTGTCCCGGAACGCACGCAACAAGGATGAAATGTGTGAGTTGTTCTTATAGGAAAACACAGCAGGGCCTTGACAGAAGAGTTACCCTTTGCACAATTCAAATTCTTTACTTATATCATCCATAGTAAGATTTTGGACAAATTACATTTTCTCTGTGTATTTGGTAACCTGCATGGCTGATCAGTTTTGTTTTGGATTGGCAGCAACCAAAGTGGTGAGCCATTTGATTGAGAAACTTCCTGGAAGCTCTGGGGACAAGTGGCCCCCAACAGATGTAGTAGTCAACATCATTGCAGTGCTGAACAACTTGGTTGTGGAGAGCCCCGTTGCTGCACGTGACATTGTCTACTTCGATGGCCTGCGCAAACTCTTCTACATCAAGAAGAAAAGGGACAGGTAGGGATGGCCAGCAGTTTCCTTCCCTACTCCCATTCACTGACTTCACCAGTAGAACCCCCTACTGAGAGTTGCATTTTACACTGTTTAATTTCTGTACTCTGCTGCAGCTTCAGAAAACTTCCTTATGCCCCTTGTTTCAGCATCACAGAGTGTGAAGTTATTAGATTCACCTAATCTTCAAAAGTAGAGCCAGTTTGGTGGAGTGGTTAAGGCATCAGGCTAGAATCCGGGAGACCAGGAGTTCTAGTCCCACCTTAGGCACGAAGCCAGCTGGGTGGCCTTGGGCCAGTCACCCTCTCTCAGCCCCAGGAAGAAGGCAGCGGCAAGTCACTTCTGAAATCTTGCCAAGAAAACTGCAGGGACTTGTCCAGGCAGTCACCAGGAGCCAACACTCACTTGAAGGCACATACACACAGTCCTCAAAAGGTGCAGTCCCTTTCAAAAGCAAATGGGAAGATCCAGTGCATAAAGCAGGGGCTGGAGGAAGGAAGAGCATGGGCAAGAAAGCAAGCCTGCCAGACCTAAAAGCTTTTCAGTTGACTTGTGTTAACTAGTCCGTCTAAATGGTTTATTTCCAACATTCAAGAGTTTTTTCCACCCTAATCTGACTTGTTAGCACCTTTGTTTCCTACCATGGCATCCAGACTGATCCATGCCATTTATCCCACAGGCCTTACTTTTAGAACCTGATAGGGGTGCAAAGTCTGATCCTCATACTCATTTTGAAAATGCCCATCTCAAAAGGGCTCGTGTTGGAGGTGGCACCAGCTGCCTAGAGAAGACCAAAGTGCCTGTATAGAGTCTCCATCTAGAAGAATAATGATTGGCATTTCTGAGGTCTGTGCAGCTGACAGTCAATCAGTACTGCATCACAGCAGCACAAAGAGGTTTGGCTGCCTCTGTACCTCCTTTAGCCTTAAATCCTCTTAAGAGTGGCAGCAGTTTTTCTGGTTTTGCAAAAGTATAAATCTGTTCCTTATAGGGATGCCTCTGAATCAATATTTGGGATCAAAGGGACTTAATCCTGGAAGTGGGAGGATAGGATTCCAGCCACAGATGAGTGTGAAGTATCTTGACTTAACAGCCATTAGCAATTCATGGAGAAGGAGTGGGTATGTTTGAGTCCCAATGTGCTCCAGTAACATGTCAGAGATTTCTCTTCTTTCTTTAGCTCGGATAACGAGAAGGCCTCCAGAGCCGCTTCAAGCCTCCTGACTAACATGTGGCAGTACAGCAAGCTTCATCGGGACTATAAAACGGTTTGGTTTTTTTCTCTCTACTCTCTGTTCCAAAGTGAGTTTGTAGGGCCTAGGTCTCTAGCACAGTAGCCATCGATATTTCCTGTGGTGCCTGCGGGGCTTAGATATGTTTGCGTTTGCTGGATCATCGCTGATATGATGTGTCCTCGTGACAGTCTTTTTTATGTTTTGCAGAAGGGCTTTCGGAAAGAAGATTTCATTAGCTTGTAAAGAAAAGGACCTGCAGAAAATGGACTCTCCAGCCTTAACTGTTCTCCATGAAGCTTGTTAATAAAGCACCACTAAGGACTGTGACCCTGCTTCATGCAACCTCCTTTTGCAGTTCCCTCCTTTTTGGAGAGCTGGTGTCAGTCTAGCTAACATGTTTTATTTTTGCATTCATTCTGTCCCTTTAAGTCTATTTAAAGCTCATGTTTTTCTCTCTTGGCCTTACTACACCATGAAAATGTTCCATGACTGTAAAAATGCAAATCGGCATCCATGCAAATTCTGAAGCTGCCTGTCACCATTGCCAGACCCATGTACTGGCTGCCCACGAAGCTGGGATTCTTTTTAGAATGTACGAGTGTTGATGTCACAGCAGGACTTCCAGACTGCTAAGGATAGTAAAGGAGGGCTCACAGGGCTCACGGTTCCATTTATGGGTGCTTCCATCTGCTTTTATGTTTATTGCTTTCTCTTATTCCCTCCATCCCTCCCTGCAACTCCCCTAAAACTCTCACTGTTTATTGTACATGTTCTCCTACCTCTATATATCCTGCAAATGATTTGCTTGCATTTAATTTTAAAAGAATTGGGTTGTATGAGTTTGAGATATAGATTTTAACAGTATGTATAAATCTATGGGCAAGATTCTAGGAAAGTCTAATTATTGGAACTTTGAGGGATAAATGTAGGTTTTTAAAATTGTATTAACCAATGCACGGGAGGACAGAGTGCTTTGGAATATAAATTTATGGTGGAGTTTGGTGATGGATTCTCTCATTTTTGTTGTAAGCTATAATGAATCTGAAGACATAATTTTCTGGAGCTACATATAACATAATTTACTTCATGTCTGGTGGGTTACAAAGCCTATAAATGGGGAAAGAAATTATGAAAAGGGAATGCTTGCTATAAGGAGGTACTCAAACTGGATAGCCAGTGACCCTGTGATTTGTACAGAATTTTACTTTTAACTCTATTCGTATAGGATTTTCTTGGTAAAATTAAAGTGCCTGAGACTGACCTGCTGAACTGTTTTGCCAGCAATAAATTCATAAACCTCAGATCAACATGCATTCACAATGTACTTTGTTGCACTCAAGATAATTTCTGCACTATATTATTAGCACTTTTAGTATCCCACAACATGGATCCTCATCCTCTTAAATGAAGGGTTCTGTTGAATACTCAGCTTCTTGCCTGATGTGTTGTAATGCTGACCAAATGTGCATCCTAGCAACCAGATACGTAGTTTCAGTGGCATATTGAAGAGGGGTGGGGGGCAGTCTGCCCTGGGTGCAGTTAATAAGGGAGTGCCTTGTCTGATGACTTGGGGATGACAAGGAGCCTATATGGAGGGGTGGTGGTGGGTGTGGAATCAGATTGCTGTTGCCAGTATGCTGATCAGCTATTTGGTGGTCAAGTGGCATGGCACAGCAGCAACAGAGGAAGGGAGTGTTAAAAAAAGTATCCAGTCCAGGTGTCAAATACACCAGGAATGCTGCTCTGTAGTTTTGTGACACCATACGGCAGTCTGGCATTTGCAATGAAAGTGCTGGGCTGCTTGACCCTTTTTCTCCACAGAAGATACCAAAAAATGGCACAAAGTTCTTAGGGAAGGCAGCTCTTGTCACTCAATGAATATGAATGTCAGCATATTTGAATTTAGGTTTTTCCTCTTACAGAACATAATCCAATAATGTATATGAAGCACAAAATGTCGGAGATAATAAGGCTGACTGAATGAGATAAGAGTCCTAGGGTGAGTATTAGAATACTGCAGGCACGTATCAGCAGGAAAGAGATGAAAACTAGATCTGTGCAGCAACTTGGATTCAAAGAGGAAAAAGTGATTTGGAACACATAATGTTGCACCAGTTGGCATCTCATTAAATCAAACATCTTTTCCTGGGTTGCACATGAGCACCAGGAAAAAACAAGGCTTTAAAGATTTCCCAACAAGAGAATCATATGCCCATAGGTGGTCCTAATCAGCATCCCTGCCCAGCCTGAATGAAAACCACCAGGAAGAAAAATCACATGCTTATCAGCAAACATTAGAACTGTGATTAATTCATCTAGTCCAAATATGCTAGCAAATATCTTATGACTGCAACAACAATATTGAAGAAAGGGAAATACACCACTACATACTGGGAAATCTCTGGACAGTTCTCCTTTTGCACAAAACTTCACGATTCCTCATGTATCTGCTGATTTATTTTAGCAAGCCCACCTTCTGCAGTGAGTGCTTTCCATAGCATTGGCTGATGGACACCACTGCAAAATCAATAAACAGCAACAAGCCTCTTTCCACACCTGATGCATATATGTACAAATATTTGGTCTCAGCATCCTCTTCCAGCCCAGAAATCAGTCTGTTCTTGGGCTAGTTGTTTCCATCTTTTCTGAAGCTTTTGATAAATACCTTGCCTATGACTGACAACAGACTAATCCCACATCAATTCTTGTATTCCTGATTGCTTCCTTTCTTGAAAATTGGAAATATTGCCTGTTTCCACAAATAAAGTATTTTCTCAGACTCTCAAACCACTTGAAGGAATGAATGGAGCTGACAAATTAAGTGTATCACCACCAGAGTTTATTGCTTCTGCAGTGACTTTATCTGCTCCAGTAGCTTTCCCTCTTTTTAACTGATGGATGGCAGCTTCAGAGATTCTGGGGTTACATTCTTCAATGTTCCATCTGGTCTGTCAAGAGTTGGTGGCTCTACTGGAGTGTTTCAGAACAGGGCAGTTGTAAAGGATATGGAAAAACGTGCAAGTGACTCAGTCATTCAATTCCAGTGTGCACAAATGTACTGTCTGCTTTTCTGGTGTCATTCATGTGTTGAAATTTACCTCTGAGGCAGCATAGTAAGTGTAGAGGTTATGACATTCTCAGCAATATGCAAGTTCTTCTGCAGCACTATTCCAGTAGACATTCCATTCTGTTTTGAAGTAGGTGTGAACTTGCTTATTAAGTTGTCAATACTGTGTCACTCATCTTTTGAGTGTGCATAGTTTTCATTCATCCAAAATCTATGGTTATGTTCAGTGTCTTCCTACAGAATAGATTTTGTTGGCATGCTTGCTAATTATTTCTGAGAATTGTATCTCTTGATCATTTTCATTTTCCAGATGTACAAAGGTAATAAATTAGCTGGAACTCTTGCTGGCAAGTAGAGTCTTGTAATTTCACTTGTCCATAACAATTGGGTGTGGCTACATTATTAGCAATTTGTTTTAATCAGAGTTATAGGATTGCATGTAGAAGATGATGGAAACACATTGCCTCTCGTTGACTGGACGTCTGTGAGTAACACTTGAAAACAGCTGCTGATTTGGAAGTAGTTGAGGACTGATGTATTGTTTCTACTGGGTGAATGCCATGTTAACTGAGGTTTTAATTGGTGCTGATTGTTTCCAATCATTAGCTAATTTACTTCTACTAATGATAAGCGGGCACAGGCCATTGTTGATCATCTCGCCAACACCAAATTTGCCCAGGACATTTTCCCATCTTTGCTGGTTGTTACCAACATGGGCATTAAAGTCACCAATGTTCAGGATTTATTACTTCTGTGGCAATGAATACAGGATTGTTTATAACTATGTGTAGAATAAGTCTTTTGCCTCATTCCTGCTTCTTTGGAGCATTATTAAGCACATTTTCGTTGTTCCTAAAAGTGACAGCTCTGCTAATTGACTTGAAGCTGATGAAGCTTGCAGTACTTTTGGATGCTATGCAAACCAAGCCAATACCCTCTGCGTGTTTCTTGCCTCCATAGTACAAAAAAACAAACCTCATTGTCACTGCCTTCTTTGTGGACACAGACATTTCCAGATCCAATGAGATGCCATTCTGATAATGCCAGAACTGAAATTCCATACTGAAATAATTCAGGAATGATTATTTCACGTCTGGCCTGGAAGCCAGTTTGAACTTTCCAAGTGGCCAATTTAAAAGGTCTTTTTGGCTTCTCAATTTGTGATTGTTTGGCTACTTGCGTGTTTCTCATCAGTGTTCTGACTTCAGTCATGCAACACTGCTGACACATCAGGTAAAGCCCCCAACGCAGTAGCGTTATTCCCAAAGGGGCATTTCTTTTTCATTCCCATAGTTCCCGATCCCTTGGCAGGGGACCAGTTCTCCTCCTTTATCTTGGCTGGGGACTGCCCACAGTTGTCTGCAAGGCTAGCTATGTTTCCTGCACATAGAACACTTTTGTTCCCTAATTTTAACGCTGGTAAACAGGGTGGGAATGGGATGGAAAATTAACTGAGGGTCCTACCTCAGTTACCTGCATACCATTTTGGAAAACGGTTCTATATAACTGGGCACCATTCATCCTAAAGAAATGTGATTATTTTTAGCAACTGATCTCTTGCTCTGTAAAGTACTTGCTTCCTTTGGGTGGTACATTCCCCAATCACCTAAGCTTCATCCAGGGAACACCCAACACGCAAGCATGCCAGAAGAAACCTCCTCCCGCAAAGTGAGTCTAATGATTGAGCTTCTATAAGCAGCCCCACATCAAGCAAGGATATGTGCCGGAAAACAAAGCCTATATGCGTAAAGTAACTGTGAAATCTTTCTCACTGCAGGCAATTGTGCTGAACATATAAACTACCTGCAGGAAAATCAATGACGTTTGAATTATGTTGAGGCCAGGGAAGAGTAGCGTGTTCCCTATGAGATGCTTTAGTAATTGAATACCGGGAGAAGGCATGAATATAACACTGGGAAAACATCTCTCCTAGTTTCCAGCTAGGATAGATGTGCTTATAGTTGTATCTTTCTAGTACCAGTGTGCTTAATTTCAGACGGGATGCTTGAGAACCAATGTTTGGAAATCAGGCTGTTAATTTCTTTCCCATTGTCTTTCTCAAGAGATAAGACAAAAAGAACAAATCCAGCCTGATTATTGTAATTATTAGAGTTTAACATGTTGAGCAGGTAGATAAAACTACTAATTTGCTAACCTGCTTCTTCACTGAGGCTGTCTTTTTTAAGAGCCATTCCTTTGCTTTTCCTGTCAGGCCTGCCTATTCTCCATCAGAGCAACATGGGATATATTGCCTTGGCCATGAAATCAGTTGCTCTGACAAATCTAAACCTAGGAGAAAAGTGGGCCATTGTGTAACCCCTGAGCCACAGATTCAACCATTTACACACTGGATATGGCCACATAACATAAAAAGGCTACCTCGGCTGTGTTCACGCAACCAAATGCCTAACGACCTAATGAGATGGCTTGGTTTGCATAACATGTTACAATATAATGCAGCTGATTTGGTTTTGGCTTAGCCAATCTGGTTTATTAACTATCATTTATGGTTTAAGATGAACACAGCTAATTTGTTAGTGGACCGCAGCTGTGATCTGCACAAATAAGATGCCCTTGAATCCAAGTCTATCAAACCCAAATGACAGCATCTTTGTTGGAGAAGGCCTTCACCTGTATCCTGGGAATCTTTCCTAGAGCGCAGCTGTTTCTCTGTGCTCTAGGAAAGCCTGAGCCATTGCAGGAGAAGAGTGTGGAAAGCGAAATCCAAGGGAAGGTGAAAGAAGAGCTGAGGATTGATTTCAATAGGTCAGCTAGAGATGGCACTGAGCTGATTAACTCCAAAAGTGATCTGCTGCAACGGATAGCAGGGCTCCTGCACCCTTAACAAAAGAGTAGACACAAGCTTTTTAATTGCATCTTTTTCTTCATGGCTGCAGGTCAAATTGAACCTGCTAAAATTCTGTGTCCTACAGTATGCAACTGTTACAAAGAACAGGAACTCTGCCCTCCTTCAAAATTCGACCCTTACTGGAGGCTTTTGGCCTCCTGTCACTTAGAGCAAAGTCTGCTCCCCAGCTTGGGCGTTTGCTGGCTACCAATCCCCGAGCAGACTCATGTTATCAAGTAAGTAAAGACTTTGACCCAACACAGCTCTTACTTCCTGTTATGTGGTTGGCAAAGTTATTAACTTATTAAGCTGACTGTGAAGTTCTCCTGTTTCACAGCTCTCTAGCAGAATTTGCAGCACTGCCACCCAGTTACAATTCCTAGGATTCTTTAAGGGAAATTATGATTGTTACTATAAAACTGGTAAGTATATACAGTAGTGTCGGTTTATCCACGTAGGACAGGCTGGGAAAGGAAAATGTCATTCCTGACCGTGTCAAGTTCTACTTCAATTTGTCCTATTCTGGCCTGGATAAACTAGGAAGACACCTTAGCTCTACAGCAGAAGGGATGAGCTCCTGTTTTGCCCGGATGCTCTGCAAAGCAAATATTTTCTTAAGCATTTACCATTTTGCATTTCTGCCTAATTGTATCTGGTGCTACAATTCACTTGATAGTAGAAAGTATTTTGAAGCAAAGCCAGGCTGAGTCCGGCCTGTGCAGCAGCGGGTCAAAGTGTACAATCTTATCACCAAAAGTTGAACAACCTTTGGAGAAAACATATAAATATTGGAGTAGTTGAAGAGGAATGCAGTGGAGAACAGTTAAAGTACAAACAGGCGCTGCCCAAAGGACATTTAATTTTGAAACGCAGCAGGTTGAAAATCAACACATGCTCTCTCAGTACCGATTGGAAGCAAAGGCAGCCCCTTCCTTTACAGGTGTGATGGCCTCCCCTCTTGGCCCGCTGAATCCCACCTCGTGTTGCCCCTGTTCTTGAGCAAGACCTAGCCTTTTCAGTTAACCAAGGGGGCCGCTGGGGGACTACCATTCTGTCACAGCCCCAGCCGTAAGCTGTCATCTGTGTTTACTATAGCAGAAAAGGGCAACCTTGCAGTCAGGAGGGCAGCATCTTTAAAAAATAATAATAATCTGAAGGTGATACAGTGACATCATTGGAGGAGGAAGAACTGCATTTTGGGCTCAAAAAAAAAAACTTGGTAGGGTTTTGGGGAGAGCAAAACATGTCTGTTACACCAAAAACAATTAAGGTTGGTGGAGTTTTTGAATACATTTAACCATGATATGACATATAATAGAATACCCAAACAAACAGAGAAGGAAGGAACCACACTGTGCACACACACATCAATCACCCTTCTTAACTTCAGACCAAATGTCTTGCTACTCTAACACAGACCACCTGTTTCCAGCTCTTGTCCTTAAAACTAAGCAACACTGAACTCAAAATCTAGACTTTTATAAAACATGGGCGCAACTTGTATGCAATTGCACTGCCAACAATTAAGTCTTTATAAGAATGCATGATACACTCCTCTGAATCAGTCCAAAGATACAGTTAATTCCTGCAGGAAATTGTAATTTCCTTGCTTGGCTGTCGCCCGTCAGCAATTTTCAATACCATACTGTTTCTGAAGGGGGAAATTCTATTTAATGTTCATAGCTAATAGTCATTTTAAGAGAGACTGGACAAGATAAGGCTAGCTAAGTTAACAGCTATGACATTTTGCTAAGGTCAATTCCACAAGTAGGTGTGGTATGAAGGGATCAGTCCCAAACTACTGCCAATCAATTTCACTTGAGGTTCGGTGGGGGGAAGATTGTATCTGCTTTCTTCAAACCACTTAATGTTTTAAACCTTTATGTTCCTTGGTTACCTTTTTGTGTTTAAAAAGCTGTCATGAAAAACTCTCTTTCACAAGATGCTCTAACCTCTTGATAGTTGTAATTGTCCTTTTGTAATACACTTTTCTGAAAGGTTTCTGCCAGTTAAGACATCTCCATCTATATGAAATGTGTTGTTCAAAGTGCATTATATTATACTAAGACTGAAACAGAGTTACTTCTTTGTTGAACATCTGGCTTGGAGCTACCCTTTTGAGACTCTTTGCACAATGTTTTTTGGCCATTGTTTCCAGGCATTGCCATTTAACTATGCACACCTAATTCCAAATTATTTGACCAATGTTAAAGCTCTGGTCCCAATTCTACATTGCTTCCCATGTCAGAGATATGTCCTGTTATGCCATGATTAACATGTTAAATCTGGAGTCTTTGATGAAGGCCAGTCAAAAGAATTCACCCACTTTCTTGGCAGTCTTCTTTTAGTATTCCTGTCATCCATAGGTCACATAACAAGCCAAATGCTTCTTGATTGATTTCTTGCCTCATTTAAATAATTATTTTCTGGATTCTCATTTTTATAGCAATATTTTCAAATAATTACCTATTTTCACTAGCTTGACTGTCAAACAGTAAAACTTCTAGACTGCTTTTGCTGTAACAACTAATGCTTAGAGTATATTTATCTAATCTATTATATACTGCATGAAAGTCCTCAGGGGGGGGGAGGGAGGGGAGGGAGGGGAGGGAGGG